AATGCAAATATTTTCTTGAAACAATTCGCAATCACTGAAGCAGAGGAAGTTGCATCACTTTGTCAATGAATGAGAAGCTGGAAAATTGGAGTCTCTTTTTTTTACTCTTGACTTCCTCATCACCATGGAAACCATATCCATACGCCTTCATACGTCAGGAATCGCTCACACTACAGATTCATGCCCATATATTATGGGATAGGCTCATGGTAGAGCGTGATGTGATGTGTATCACAGCACGGCAGGGACTCATTTCTTGCCATACTCGATACATGAGTCTATCTGGTTCTCTGTCGTGTATGCTATCACGCGCCTATTCCGAGAATGGAATCCGCACAGACCCCTACGATTTTCAGGGGAAATGTCAGAGGTGAGAGAATGGAGCAGATCGATTCCCTCCAATCGCTCCCTAACCTATTATTTTTTCCTTCGTTTCTTTTTCCTCTTTCTTTGTAAAGTTCAAGCAAGTAAACATGTGTATTGATGAGCGATAAGCATCAATTATTGCATCTTCTACAATGCAGCCTTGGTCGATATCCTTAGACTGCAGTGCGCAGAAAAGAATATTCCGCCAAGTTAATTGCGCCTTTAACGATGTCTGCAGATAAGCCGAAGAGCCGAAGAAATTAGCTTGACACGAAAACGTCAAGTCCATAACCACCTTCATCATTCACAGGGGTTCACCTCAACCTATGGCGCAATGGGATATGTAGGTCTAATGAAAGAGAAAAGGATGGAGTCGAGAGCGCACATGGCGGTAATTACAACGCCATTCCCACCTTTTCTATCAGATAATATTTTCAAAAAACCTTTACGGTTTAAATTTTCTATTCTATCACATGTCAATACGCTTACGGCAAGCAAAATATGCCCGAAAACTTTTAGGTTGGACGGGCTTCTATAGTTATTATATGTTTACAGAATCGACTTGATTTTTTTTTAAGTAATACGAGCAGGGCGAAAGACGCCAACCTTTCCCCAGTATTAACATGACTGCACGGCGATAATTTAATTACATTTTATCAAACTTTATGGTGTTTACATCACTATATGCGATAACATTATGAGATGTTAGCTACGTATGGATTCATGAAACTCTCCGTAGCGATGCATTTCAACTACAGTGTATATAGTTACCATAATATGCATTCCGTTCTCCATCGGTCTGATACTTCATATAAACTAGTATTTAAAAAAGTCAGGTGTGACATAGAGGCAGTAAAAAGGTAAGCCATCATTAGGAATCTCATCTGGCATGGTACGGACCTCTGTACGCTCTAAAGATGGTTCTTTTTGTCAGGATAATTACTCATAGCATCAAATTGTTTAAAACTGAATATTTAAATCCACTTATGCTGTCATTACCCCTGAAAGAAATTGATCAAAGAGTATTCATTCTCTCTTGATGGAGACCCTTCGCGTGCACCAGCTTGGAGGATTTCAGGATTGGAAGAGGTATGCTGACACGCAGCATTCGTCGGCTCGCTGGAGAGTGGCAAACCAGAGAAGCTTTATGACCTTCCAGACTTGCCAGTATCAAAACCGAATCATGAAACATTAGTTGTAACAAGTTATAATTACGTGCCAGTCACTTATTCCTAATTTCTAAGGAATGAATAACTAAGTAATTAATCACTAAAAACTAGTAACAAGCTAACACTTATTTTCAGTTGATCAGCTCAATTCAGTTGGCTCCTCTATTGCATCTGAGAAAAAATATATCTACAATTTTGCTGCTACCATGGCTGTGGTCTCATTTTCCCTTTGACATCCAATGAGATCTCTTTGGATTTGAATCTCCTGGGCTTACCCTACCCTTAAAAGTAATACTACAACGGATTTAAAGTATTCAAGCAGAAATCTATATATATTTCCGGCATTGCAGCCCTTTCGAGACTCTAATGACGTACGTTGTACGTCCAGCTAGTACGCATAAAACGCCACTAGTTTCACGTACAACGTATGTAATTAGAGTCTCGAAAGGGTTAATAAAACGATAAATGTCCTTATTAACCCTTTCGCTGCGAAAAGCGACTTAAGTCGCTTTATTATTTATGACCCCTCACTGCGTAGTTTGACGTATTTAAACCCCTAAACCAAAATTAAATCCGCAGCGAAAGGGTTAAGTCTCATTCTTTATCAAACTTCTTTGATTCAACGTAGTTTGAATAACCAAATTCTCAATACTTTCAGTCAAAAGGTCAATCCAGAAGTCTTGCCCCTCAGACAAGCCCTAACAATGCGTATCTCTTAGGTTTGAAATAGGATAGCATTGAACTATTCATGCATGCACATTGTGGGAAGATTTAGGTTATTCGGATTTTTCCGCATGGCACATCCATGCATAGGGAAGTGAGACGCAACGTTTGCGGTTTAATGAGGCGAGTGGGACGAAATGGAATCACTGAATGAATTACGAATGCGAGTGACGTCCGAGATCCCATCGATTCTCCATAGCTTGACGCGAGCGTGAGGTCTGCTTTCTCCCGTGCTTCATTCATTATTCGTACTGCGGGAAGAAACCGTCCCACTTTGTCCATAGAACTGTCTGATTTGCTTCTCCAGAACGCTTTCAGAGAGATTGCCTCGCCGAGCCTCTCATCGAACTTCCATAAACGAGATCGCATCAGCGATTGTCGCTCAAAGGGATGGCGGAGGAAGAGGTGACAAATCCTCCTCGTTAGGTTGAAGCCGACAAGGGACCTGATGGGCTGTCAGCCTGTACGTTGGTATGGCCCGCCAACAAGTATTCACAGCCGGGATAACAGCTTCAGCAGGCTCTCGTTTTACGGCATTTTACTCTCCCGATTTCCTTTTTTTACGACACGGATATCACGGTTATAAGATGCCAGGACATCATGGTTTATGCCGAGCCTTTCGTCTCTCCTCTTTTTTCCACAGTTTTGCATTTTACTCCGCGATGTAATGCAAGTGCCTTACAATATGAAACCTCGAGACAGTCCAGAAACGTTACCCATCTTAAAAGTAACTTACTGCTGATTCAGTTTGAGCTTCCTAATGTATATGCGCAATTATTTAAAATAAAAAAAACAAACAAACACAAAACAAGATATTTGTTTTAAAAAGCTGGTTAAAAACGGTGACTTTTTTAAGCCAGAAGTTCTTGACGGGAGCGTTGCATTGATACCAACGCCTAGAACGTTAAAATCAGAATCGTCTTCTTTTTGCAACTGAGATTGAGATGTTAACCAATAATATGTAATGTTAGTTACCGCTCCGGATCCACTGCATGAGTAAGGAGGCGCGCACATACAGGTATAGTTAAGGGGTGAGAGTGCAGCAGAAACAATCTAAGAAGGAGATAGCAGAGGCATATTGGGTCAGAAGAGGTCATCATCCTCCTCATCAAAATTGATAGCAATGCCGCCACTATATATTCATGGGATGCAGGACAAAGAGCTGAAAATAACCTCTGCGTGAAGAGGTGAATGAACACATTTCTTGGCTGGCAGAGGGGAAGGAGCCTGAAAAGATATGGTAAATCTCGACAGATGGTCTGCAAAAAAAGCGAAAGCGAGCAGACAGCATCTCCAGGTCACTTTCTTAAAGCATAAAAAGAATAAGTACCCTGTACAGGAAATAAATGAAAGACCAAGCTTTTGAAACTATGAAATGTACTCTGTGCATTGGCAACTCGCAGAGTCCAGTTTTAAGGCTTCTTTGCGATGCAAGATTATTCGCGCCAGATGTATACTCAATTTCCACTCGATCGAAATGAGACATTTATTTGCCTTGAAAAGGAACGAAACTTCGTCTTACTAACTCTTGCCTCTATTTAAAAAAATTCATGTTCTATCATTGTGGCAGACTTGCAACGATATTGCCACTTCGCAAGCTTGCTGATGTACAAATAATTATGCGCTTGTAACGAGGCAGAAAATAATCTCTATTTGGTAACGAGGATTTAACCAGCATTCTCTGAGTCAAGTGTACCAAAACCTCCACTTTCGGTGGCAATCTCACTCCTCACCAGATCCGGAAATCTGGAACAGGTGAAGTAGCATACATAGTCTTGAAGGGCTTGATCCAGGGAGGCTGTTGGTGTATAGATTACTCTGTTTTGAGCAGTCATTCCTACTTTTTTGCCCACGAGAAGATGACCCACCTTACCACCACGGTTATGCCCATCGACAGCTATTGGACTGGCTGCGCTTTGACCTTTCGACTTACAAAGAGCTCTGAGTCAATCTACACTGCTACGGGGGTAGTTCGCTACTCATCCTTCCCTACCTTCCACATTCCACTTTGTCTCGCGATACTAGCAAGTATCCTCCAGCAACAAGTCATGATTCGTGTCCTTCTTTCTGCCTTCTTGAGCATCTCCGTTCTCATTGGGATGGTTCCAGGAATGGTTCTGCTGCCTGCCGAAACACTTCCTTCCGCACGGTCACCGAAGTAGAGAGCGATCCACTCTCTAAACAATCGGAGATGCCAAGCAGGAGGAGGAGGTCCTGCAACGAAGGCGAAGTCTGTCGTTGCACTTACTGTAAAAGCCACGACCCAGTTCACCGTGTTGTAAAACTTTCTCCCTTTTTACCCCTGAGTGCGATAACCATATCTCTAGAAGTTCTAATTCAATTTTCGAACAAAGACCACCGTTAGGTTCCCCATATCGTATTCTGTAAAAGTTTCAAGTTCATAGAGAAATTTCCGGATCTGTCTTCAATCCGGAATGCCACCAATCGTGATACACTCGACTCAGAGAACGACTGTTAAAAATAAAACCTCTCGGTTAGGAAGCGCGAAGACCAGTAGATTTGGGGAATAAAATGAGAGAGACCGAAATAAGATGCATGAGGCAAGGGATGATGTAGGGCCCTCGTTCCCATTCTTATTCCCAGGGGTGAAATGATCCTTGAGGCAAGATAAGGCCACTTCTTCAATCTCTTTCCATAGTTACACTTGCGTTTTCTTCCTCTACCCGATTAGACTTCACCCTCAGTTTCAACGTTATCTTTTCCCGCCATTTAGAAACTGACATGTTCATCTTTCATATCGGTATGCGATCATGCCATTGCATTTGCGGATTTCATGCTTGAAGGAACGAGAACCTCGGGGAGGGTGCCTACTCTATTCCAAGTTCATTTTCGATTATTCTATTACAAATAGATTCGCGAATTCCTGGAAGACAAAAAGGATTCCGAGATCTAGAGAGGAGTCCTTCACAAAGCTTGAGAGACGATGTAAATACGTGGGTATAATAGATTCCTTTCTGCAAGTCCAGGATAGATTACAGAGATACCATGGGAGGAATCACTCAGCCTTCTTCGTGCACAGGGTATTGCATTCAAGCAATTCCTCCATCTCTTCCCCTTTTTGAAGCCTAGTACCTTCCTTATGTTTCACCTCCATATTTTCTGCGCCATGGATCAAGAGAATTACGGAACAAATCCAGGCGTAAGAACTCATTTGCTGGCTGTGAAACTTCTCCTCTATGAAATTTGACATTTTTAGACATTTCCCACCCTCAAAGTAAATTGGGTTCAGGTTTGACAGGGAGTTCATGGCCGGCAGTTTGTCTTCGAATTTTTTTTATGGACAAAGCTTCTGCAGGCAAAATTTTAACTAAAATAACAGATAATATTTGGTGCCCGCAGTGAGTCCTGTTGTAACGACTAGGTACTAATGATCAACGCAAAAGCAAGGCTCTAGTCAATATGAGTTCAGCATTACCATTATTTTCCTTAAATTTTGTTCCTACGAAAATCACACACGCAGGTTTCAATGAGTCATGATGAATAATTGAAGTCTTCCCCCTCATCGAGGAAATACAGTGATGTAGAAGGCTACGGTCCGACTGCGCGAACCTCATTTAGGGGAGATAAAGCCATTTAGCCATTAGGCTAAAGAGCTCTTCCCCCCCCCCCCCCCCCCCCCCCATAGGAGTTCATACATTCCTGAAGGACCGTTAACTAAAGAAAGTTTCAGCATTCAGGCCTACATGTCTGCATTTCTTCGACTTTCCTTCAAGACATAAAGAAGGATCATCTTCATTATCGATTCTTTGATTCCTTCTTTGCCTTCCCCCCTCTATTTTCGCGTTCCTTCTCTTCGTCTGATTATTGACGAATCGGTTCACATTTGTTTTGGTAGTGAAGCCGAAGAAGGGAAATGTGGAACCAGAAGCTGAGCTTCATCATCTCAGAGACCTTCTTCTCAAAGGTGAGTCATTTCCTCGGTATCAACGGAGGAACTTGTTTACCCCTTCCTCCTTTTCTTTCCTTTCTCATTTTCGACTTCAATCATATGCAGCTGTGTCGAACAAGGCTAAGCAACCATCTACTTCAAATAACAAAGGATCGAAAGGTTTAGTAGATTGCTTGGGAAGCGGGGGAGGAGATAGGACTCGACTAGAGTTGAAAGCTTTTCACGATTCAATCCTAAATGCAATGCACTTTCAATGGGAAGAACCGAGGATCTGCCAAGGTCCCGGAAATTGCTTTCGAATGAGACCATTAGGCTCACGGGGAGAAGTCTATGAGGCTTCCACATCTTTGGGAGGGAAACCTCTCTCATGCTTTTTCCGCCTTTTTGTTCGACCGAATTTCCCTTGGTAAAGAAAGACCTCGCACTTCCACGATTGATCTTCCATAGTTAGAAATATTAGAAAATCGGAAGCGCAGAGAGTTGAAAATATTCCTTTCCTCAAAAACTCTCCCAACTTACAGCGCCTTTTCGAGTTAAACAATCTCTTCTTTTACCTTTAATGTTCATCATGAAGGTCACCAATGACAAAACAAAAAGCAGCCTACATCCAACTTTCAAATTATATATCATTAGTCCTCATGGCAAGGGATAACAAGTATTTCTGGGGTAATAAGGGCCTACGCCAGCTTGATAAGGTGTAGGAAGCTGGTGTTTTTCTCTCTGTTTCTCCTACCTCTTTATCCTCAGATTTAGATTACCTAGCAACAGTAACGAACTCCTCCATGGCTATGCCCTTTGTGGGATCGTTACCGCAAGGAGTCGCGGGCACGGGCACGGAGACACTTTGAAGACTGCTTCAAACCTAGGCGAGAGCCCGGGGAGAACTTAGAGAGTGGATGGGCATGGGTATTGACAAAAGGGGTGGAGACGTTATCCAATCGAAACCCATTATTTCCATCGATCCACAATCCCTAGACACAATGACTTTGACCTCTCTTCCCCCCTTTCAATTCACCATTTCCCGCCCCTTGCTTTGCCATATCAGGAGCTCGTTATGTCGAGGTTTTCAAGACAAAAACGCGAAGTCGGGTCTTTCAAGAAAGCGAGTCTCTGTCTTGCAGATAAACATGGGGTGGAATTGACGAAAGAGACAGTGCTCAGCGAATCCGTCGTGGACGGCGCGGCCACTTCTCACAAATCTCAAGTCGAACAAGGTGAGACTCAACCAGGAACTCAATCTTACATGTATGCATGCCTGCAATAAAGAAAGAGCAACATGCCACTTCCCGTCGTATATATCTCATTGAGACGAGCATGCAATCTTTCTCTGCAGCAAGGCTCATCTATAGGGCAAGGTACACTTTTTTCGGTTTGATGCATGAAAAAACATGAAGTTCACATAATCCAATCCCAGGTAGTAGCAAAATGGAAGTATATATAATAAAATTACTCTTAACATTCAAATTCGCGAAGGAAATACAGGATTTTCATTTTACCAGTTAACCCAACGAAATGCAAACTAAAAAAAAAATAAGTATAATTCAGATATACATTAAACTTGGTGATTTGAGAACCAAGACATTGTACAAAAGTACAAAATGACATTCACAGTCAGTCACAGTCATAATACGTCACAACATATGTTGGAAATGGGCACCGTCATGTTCAATCAATATTCCGTTGTTACTGTCTGTGTCCAGCAACATGCTTCGCCGTGCACGCTAGTGCCTTGAGCACGGCGGTGGCCACTTCCAACATATGTTGTGACTGTGATTGTCAGTTTGTACTTTACAATTTCTTGGTTCTCATATCACCAAGTTTCATGCTTATCTAAATAATAGTTATTTTTTATTTGCATTTCCTTTGGGTTAACTGGTAAAATGAACACCCGTACAAAAGGAAGGAGACTATTTTCCGAGTCACCCTAAAGAAAGGCAGGCATGATATTATTTGCATGTTTAATGACGGGCAGTGAAGGAGCCAGGGACGGGGAAGGTGATTGGGAGCGTGAAGGTAGAGAAGGAGACAAACGAAGACAACAGTGGCCGGAAGCAGACCCATTCGGTCACTCAAGTGGATATCCCCTCCGAGGGCATTCATCAAGTCATCCCTTACGAAGAGGACAAACGATCTCCTGTACGCCCTCCGCACTTTCTTCTAATCTTCTCCCAAAGGGCTACATCTAAAACTACCGTTTCTCCTCTTGGGCGGAAAAAAAAAATATATACAGTAGTTGGCGGAAGTCCTCTTGAGGATCCCCGCCAAATAGGTTTCTGTAACTTTATACAAATCGACTAGGAGACTTAATCAGGCAAAGTGATGGCATCTTTAAGAGTGTTTTTTTATTATTCCGAACGTTCCTTTCACCAATTCTAAACGATGAGGCTTTCGAGGAGTTAACCTTTTTCTGCAGCTGATAGAAGAAGACTAGAGGCCATTTGACTTCATATGCCGGGAAAGTTTTTCTTCCCATCGAGAACGAGAGCCTTTTTCAGCAGTTCTTCACTAAGGCATACTCGCGAGTAAAATATAGCCATCACATATCCTCAAATGGTGGAAGCCGTTCAAGATGAGTCTAAAAAAAGTACCCTTTTTTTCCAGAAATATCCTTTTGAGTAACGACATCTTCAAGTGAAGTTTAGAACAGACGATATTTATAAAGACAAAAAAAAAAACGGAGAAGAGCTTTAGACGAGTATGCTTATAAGTTGAGGTAAAAAGGTCGTTGGTACTTGATATTCAAATATATTTTCTGAGGCTTTTAAGCCAGCTTCACCCAAGCAACGATACTGTCTGTAGAAACTGTTTTTATGAAAATCATGATAGCTAACTCAAACTTGAGTAGGTGTAGATACCAAACCCACGTTAAAATTTTGAGCAACACGAATATTCAAGATTTCTCAGGCCAGTGCGTCATGTAATTTCGTAAAATTTTCATCTTCGACAATTTTCATGGTATGGGAGCATACTTGGGATATTTGACCTTAAACAGAGATGGAGTGACACCGTGGTGAGTAATAAATGTGCAGAAAAACGAGTGAAACCCTCGTGTTTCTGCGCAAGAAAGGTTTACTAAATTTTGCTATCACCACTTACTCGTATTTCGAGACTATCTATTCTCCTTCAAGAATACGAGGTATACTGCAGGATTATATGCACCTGTCCTGTTTCCTGGGAGGATGCTAACTCTTCAGATCACGAGTAGGAGAGTGCGTGAATGAATCAAGACAAGTATTCCTCATGATGTCACGGGCAATTATATATATTCTAGTATCAAAAGAGGCTACCCCATTTATACGTGTACAGGCAACACCCTTGCTCTTTCGCAAATTGGTCAGATAGTCACAAGGGAAGCAGAAAAAACATTGTAGTGGAATACCGTAGATCAGTTGGTCAAACAGTTCGTCTCCCCAGGCATGAAGTTGCGCAAGGAGTCCTTGTTATACATAGAATATGAGTCATGGAGGATAATGATAAATTATTGCTGCTGATCTTCCCTGTACGTTGAAGGAAGAGGAAAAGTTGGGAGGAGAAGACGGAGGGGAGGAGTTGTCTCCGTTGGATGTGGCGGAATACATCTTGAGGACAGGGGACGAGGAATCGGTCGCCTTGGCCGTCGAGGATCTCCTCGCTCAGGGAATCGTACGTCTCAAAGACTGCCTGTGTATTACTCGAAATGCTTTTTTTTTAACTTACAGCAAATGAAAGCCTAGGCGAGGTAATCTATAGCTCTTCATTTTCTTCAAGAAATAATTTCTTGCTAATCTGAATCATGACTAGAGTCCAGCTGCAATTTTTTTGTCAGCCTCTTTGCTTCTCCCACCGTCAGAGTCAATTAAAAGCAGTTGCAAAAAATTAAGCGGGTTTCATTGTCGTCTTTTTAAAACTAGGATTTTAAAATCAATAGGAATAAAAAAAAAGTCTGCTTTTTCATTTAAATTTTTTTATTTCCCGGGTGACACGGAGGCTTTCAAATTTGGTGCAGCATGAACCGTTTCGCATATACTGAGCTGACGCGGAAGTCAGGCTGAAAGAAATTTCTGTTGTCTCCTGGTAGTTGGAGAAGGACGAAGCTATTACATATCTGATAGAAGTGAAGAAGGACCTGGAACTCCTCAGGACGGCTGCCGGCACGCCTGGGAAGGTTAGAAAACTTCAATTTTCTCTCTTTCCTTATATATTATACTTCCTTCTGGGGAAGAAACCGCAGCTAGCAATCCTGTATGAGACAAGCAATCAATAACAGCCAGAATACAATCAAGAATTTTCAAGCCCACCAGCGTCTCAGTGAACACTTTAACGATCGTATCACCCACTGGTGGGTGACTGTAAAGGAAACGCAACGAATAGTCACTAGTAAAGAAAAATGGATGATTTTACATACAGCATCTCTCGAGTGACTAAACATCTCTCCCCCTCCTTTGGTTAAATTATGACTAATGCGGCAAATGTTCTGATATTGTTGAATGCCTTCTAATAATATGTGCAGGTTATAAGTAGCTCAAATTCAAGTCAATAATTAAAGGTAGCACGATCGGAATGCAGTCATTGCATGGAAATTGAGGAATCACGAGTTCAGGAAGCGGGAACAACTCCATTAACTCTTAAAAGTTTATGCCTTCTGGTTCGCCTTATGCAGCAGCTACGTGGTACTTTTGGTATTCACCTCATCAGTCTGAAAGAGGGAGGGCACCCAGTCGCAATACGAGAGATTACTTTTCTACAGCTATACTCCTACTTTAGCCGAACGAGATGACAATTTACTTTGCCACTTTGTACATCAGGAAGTCATTTCTTTTTCTCTGGTTTCACCATCCTTTACGAGATTGTTTCAGGTTACAAATTTCTTGAAATGAAAAGTGCATAAAACAGGATTCTGTGACAGGCTTTCGTGATCGTTTAGTTGTCTTGAAACGGGAAAAGGTGAAATCTTCAAGGAGCGGCCGCAGGTATGAGGCATGCCACCGAAGATCTCACGAATAGGCCTACGACTCGGATCGAAAAAAAACTCAGAATGACGAGTCATGACCTTGACTAGGGTATGCGCCTGACCTTAAATGGAAACGACAAACCAAGGGGGGAAGACCCTGGAGCCTCTGATGGCTCCCATGATGGCGTGGATCGCATCTCACGAATAGGACCTATCTCTTGTAGGCCTAAACCAATGAAGGCTGAAAGAAGATGATGATGGATGATGAGTCTCTCAGGGCAGGCCGGATCTCTTATTCAATGAATGGGAGGCAGTCCATCGACTCCCCCGTCTCCATCCCCATCTCCATCTCATTCCCTCACGGAGTGTCTCAGACCATCTGAACCATCACAGTTTTATGGGAAGCATTAGCTTTTACACTCTATATGTTTGCGTAACGCCGACACTCGACTCAAAGAGAGAATCTTCTAATGGAATCTCAGTTATCTTAGTCTCGGGCTGCATTCTATGGCAGCATCAACGAAGCCATAGGACAAACAATTCGTTACCACCCACTTCTTGGCATTGTGTTCGCCCTATTGATGACTGGCTCAGCTTCTAAGCTTCCACATACTTGTTTTCTACATGCTACAGTCAAGTATCCTTAATCCAGACTTCAGGGGACAGGCGATTTTGTTCGGATTAACGGCTGGTCTGAATTACCGAAGACCAGGCGAAGAAAACAGCACTCCCAGTGTAGTGCAAAATGCATTCATTCAGTCCCCCCCCCCCGCCCCGCTGCAAATAAGAATCGATGACCTTGCAACTAGTCACATCGAATAAATCCCAATTTTAGATTTTCTTTGATTGACGCAAAAAAGTCTCCCGAGTCAGATCACGCCAAGAACGATTACTTATGACGGAATGGAGGTAACAGACTTGTTGAGGTTCTAAAAGGTCCCACGCTCTCCCAGTTAAATCATGCAGTTGGTGAAAGGAAGTCATTCGTGAAGCCTCACCTTTTCTTTTGCTTTATTTTATTGCATATTCTGCTATATTGGAAAGTTGACTAGTCTCGCAACAAAACACAGCTGCTGACGATAGAAATTTAAGAAAAAGAATCAGAATTAAAAAGAAAGCATAATAACTTTCCTTTGACAGTTTTCTTGCCTTGGTAATGCATCATGTTCAAATTTTGCTACACAAAGTGGCACACAGATTGGTACATTTTCATTCGATTTTCCACCGAAACCTTTCCTCAGTATTTCCACCACTATATCTTTGGCTGCACCAAAACTAAAGACTCAAACTGGAAATACACTTCCCTCTACCGGAATCGGATCAAATTTTGGTTTGGGTGAGACTTTGCCCATACAAATTCATGCAATGATGCTGAGCAGTGCGAATCTGATAGTTAAATTGTTGGAAAAGGACTCCCGGACTGCCCGGACTCTTGCTATCCTTACGGGAACTCCATATTCAGATTTCATGCGCGATATCAAATACGGCCATACAGGGGTGCTTTGCTCGAAATGTACATGGTACAAATAAAAATTATATATGGGAGACTGTATTTGGAAGCCGTCCAAATGGCCAAAACATGATACGGACTGAACTGTTTCCAAACATGGCTAAATTCAGTACTGTACAATCCTATACATACGCCTGTATTTGGAAGTTCCGTAAGGGTAGGCACACTTACAGGCTACTATTTTATATCTCCTTTGTCACAACTTCGCAAGAGCAGAATATCCATGTCATTCGTAAAATTTCATAACTTTTCCGTGGCACTAGACGAAAGAATGGCGAAAAGAAAAGCAGAAGAATATCAACCCAGATAGGCCTACTTAGTGCTATCTGGGTTGATAGGAAAGGGAAAGTTGAGGGAAACCCAAGGGTATAGACTCATCGTTAGGTATAAAAGGTATGTCTACCATGTCGTGTTCCTGTCCTCTTCAGACGAATTTGCTGCTTTTAGACTCCATCTCAAAAGCGGGAAATGAAAAAACGTTTCGTTCGACGATTCTCGTCAGCGTGGTAATATCCCAGAGCAGCGCAGTTATTATGTGCCGCGAACTGACGGAAAACGGGTTATTCGGCACAGATGACGCTCTTTTCTGTTGAGTTTGACACGTTTTTACTTGACTCTGACACTCACGAATGGAAAGTGCAATAGGCGGACAAGCAATAGACAGGCATCGACGTCAGACTCGAGTAAAATTTTTAAAAAAGCTTTAAGGATCCTTCATGCAATTTAGAACTCTCTCTTGGCAGGCAGAATTGCAGCGCCCCTCCAAATGTCTTTAAATGAATCGCACGAGGTCTACTACGTGGATGAATGAGACTGACGGGAAGAGAGAGATGGCTGCGAAGAGTGGGACAAAGTTTCAATGACGAGTTCTCGTCAGTTGCCCGATTTCCGAGAAAATGGGGCAGATCGAAGATAAGAGTTTTCAAATTCATGACGTGAGGCGAAGTGAAGATCCAGGAAAGGGACAATAAGAGTGGATTTTTGAACAGTCGTAATAGGCTATTACGACGAAATAAAGTCTCTTTTACGTAATATTTAGGCCATTTATTTCGTCGTAATAGCCTATCACGAGACAAGAAAAATCCACCCTAAGACTTTTTCCTGCCGTAGCCTACTCCGTCTCTTCTGGTAGTAGGTCTGGATTAACGGCGAGAATAGCCCTAAAAAAATGTCACCAGGAATGAAGACACAGAATTGGCAAAAGCAGAAAAAGCCAATACGAAAAGCCACTCTGAAAACACTCACACGGCAACATATAAACAAAAACAAAAAAAAGGCTCTTTGCAGATGCCTTGCAAATGTCCTTGAGAACTTTAGATTGATTTTAATTAGATTTTGGAAGTACAGTCGACTCCGCATGATGGAATACTCACGGGACCAGCGAAGTATACTGGTATTCTATCATCTAGAATATTCCAATAACCGAAACTATTGTACTTCTTTTTCTTCGCTCTTCAGGCAGTTTTTTAAATTGATAGAGTAAGGGACCCATTTTGGTGTCTTCCTAATTAATGTAAGATTTTTTTTTTCAAATTATATTGCATTAATTATATTTTATTATTTTTATTGCACTTATTAAATTTTTTATATTTATATACATAATACATTTTCTTTTGCAAATAGGACTACTACACTTTTTTGCGCTTTTCAAGGTTTTTCCGTTTCTGCTTCCTGTTGTTTCCTCCATCTCCAATGCTTCCTTGTTTTTGATATAGGAAGCTTGCGGCTGAGAGATCCTAAACTGCTGTGCCAGTTCAGTTTGCGTCCTGAGGGGCATTCAGAACTGCACTCTTTTGGGTCAAGCTGAGGTCTTTCCTATTCTCCGTTGTCAACTCAAAATGTGCAAATCTGTTGCCCATAGGTTCAATCTATTGCCCAGATGAACTTGTTTCAACTTTCACCTGAAAGGGCTCGCTTACATGCCTCGTTCTTGCATTAACAGCCTATATCGACACCCCAATTTCTAGGAAAGGGCGTGCTTGCCTTTCCTCCTGCCCCGCTCTGTTCTCGGAACAGTCAAGTGGCAATTCATGACCTTGATCCCACGAAGAGAGAGGGTGTGACTGGGGGAAGGGTCGATGAGAACTTTCCAGAACGCGGAGTAGGAAAATTAAGCCTTTTGTTTTTCAACGATTAAAAAAAATGCATTCCATATGTCATAAAAGTTTATTCCTTTCAGCGGGTTATTCTAATAACCGTATTCCTTAATGCGATTTTCTTTATAATGCGTCTCATGGTTAAAAAAAACCGGGACCGTGCAACGGTACTCCATTAAGCGGTATCCTATTATGCGGAATCGACTGCATTAAAAAATAAAAATCAATCTTTCTCCTCATAAATTTGTAGATATATATATTAAGGATCCTGGTCATAGTGGAAGAAAGCAAGCTACGTATATTTCATTTAAAGGATATATGAGGTATACCACAATAGTTTATACAACAATTTATTTAGCCACAACCATGGTTTACTTTTATGGATAATACCATAACAAGTGCATACATCACAACGCCAAAAAATATTAATTGATTTAAAGAAAAAATGCGAAGTACAGCGTCAATATTTTTCGAGTACTATTGTTAGAGTCTTTTTTTTTTACCGTGATATTAAAACTAAATATCAGTTTTGTAGCTTCTTCGCATTTTATTATTGTGTACCTTTTCTTTTGCTTTTGCCAATAATGGGGGTGGGTCTTTTTTCCAGGTGGCTTTTTTTTATTTATAAACCCGAGATGGTCCAGGAGGGTAGAGAATCCTTTAGTATATGCGGGAGCAGGAGCTACATCATGATAGCGTTCACATTAGTCGAAAAATTGTTCTACGAGATTTTTGCCGGGACCATTCCTCTTGTCCAAACTAACAGGAGTTACTGACGTTCGAATAAACGAGAGTTGACTGAATTTTGTCATTTCTCACTTTTATTTCTCGCCTTAGTCGTCGACCTGAGATCGATTCGAGGTGACGTCAAATCTGGCACAAATGGAAGACCGTTTCCCCAATCAATATCAATTTCCATGCCAAAACGGCAATACTCTTCGATAGACAAACTGGAATTGGGAGAATTATCGAGAAGCAAACTGGAACACAGTCATGGAGTGCCAGAGTAATGCAAGCTGCTACCGCAGAGATCCACTTCGGAGTGTAATGTCATTTATTATGCAGACGAAACACAAGTAATGCAAAATAACTAAGAAGAATCAAAGTGGAAGGGATGTGCGCAAGAGAATACTTCAAGGAGTGGATACGGTATGAATAGGGTTGGTTAGGTTGACCCACTGGGCCTAGTGGGAATGCATGCGAGTTTCATATATTTATTTTCATATCTACTTGCTGGATGATATCTTCCAAAGCGACGCTTTTGTCAAGACTACTACATTTGAGAGATGCGGCAAGAACTTTTATAAGTTAAAGCGCGCAGTATTCTGGCAAAAGTTGACGGAAGTCATTCGCTGGTGGACAGGTACTCCACAGGAGATAGAACAGACATCCTATGATTGTACAATGTAAGGAGCCTAACCTTTTTTTTGCAAGGAAAGGATGCTTGCTAAAAGCCAAGATATGTTTCAAATGTCAAGTTCCGGTTCATCACTAAAAACTTTCTTAAAGACAGCGTGAAAAACATGATGGTTTGATTTGTCCTTGGTAATTTATGGTTGAACAGCGACACACTAGAGTTTCTTTTCTGACCCCTTGGATACTGTATTATATTCCATAGGAAGAGGAGAGGAAAGCGGAGCTCCGGGTGAACATCCCCGCTGATAGTGAGAGGGACCAGGGTAAGCGCAGCCTCTCAACGCTATATACGTCATCCCTTTCTCCTCTTTTTCCTTTCTGAGATGACAAGGCCGAGCCGGGTCGCCATAGAGACCCATTCCAATGTGGACAGTCATCGATTATGTGGAGAAGGATGCGTCTGTTCAGCAGTTCTCTTATTTCGACCTATATTTCCTCGGGTTTTCCGCTGAATCAGGAAATCAAATCGACGCCAGTTAATCACGTCCGTTAACTCTAATGAATCTTGAAGGCTGAAACACTAATGCGTTAATGGAAGCTTTCGTCTGACTCCCAGACACGCTGAAACTCAGGGAATACAATAGGAACTTCATTTTTTCTTTCAAAGGAGGCTCGCTCGCGAGAAGGAAGAATGTCTAACGAACCGCACTTCCAATTTTGGAGTAAACCTTAAAACTTTGAACACCATTTGCGACCCCAGCCTTACCTTTCTCTACTGAACGAGGCGTCGGAAAACACTCCTTCTTCATCCTGAATAGTACATTTAATGGAGTGAAGTTAAACGAAACGAAATTAACTAAATTAATGGATGATGTTGATTGTTCATTCAGGATTGAAGATGACGACAGAGAATGAGTTACAAGAATTCATCGAGAAAGAATATGGCGAGCTGATGGAGAAATTGAACAAAGATGAATCTCTATACACGGAATTGGCGCTCGAGGAAGTCCTGTATCGGGCTGCCAAGCTCCTTTTCAAAGAAAGTCTCAAAAAAGGTCTGCTAATAGCCTTTCATTCCTTTGATCTGTTAGCCTATTTTTGTTGGATTGTCTCTTCGATCGGGTGAATCCTCAAGGGAAAACGCAGTTCAATTGCCAAGGACAGGCGAGAGCCTGATGTGATTTTGTCTAAGTCTAAATACAAGCCCAAGGCAGGAAACAAATCTCACAAAACTATATGGAATTGATGTGGATGCGAGTCTGAAGTACTGTAGAAGAGATATTGCTGACTTGGCTGCCTTCTAGATCATATCTACTCGAAAACGAAGAGAGACTCTCTGTAGAAAGGCTCTATTTTTCCCTAAGACTGATTTCAAAACAAGCGTCATGGGAGTCATGCACCCATCTCCTCGTCTTCTTTTGCCATGAAAGAGGGAGGAAGATAGAGAGAGATATTGTGAAATGTAAGCCATAGACAGCGAGATAGGAGGGGAAAATTGCCTGGAATACACTCTTTTGGCGCATTCTGTAAATGCAGAGATTCCGCCTAGATGAAAGTGGAACATAGTTTGTTTTTCTTCTCCTGTCAGTCATAAGAGATGAAGGGATTGCATGCCAGCGTCAACCTTTCATGTACCCGAGGATGAATAAAATATAAAAAAATTAATTAATTACCGGGATTATGCATGTAGTAGGAGCACATTGTTATAGTCATCGTGGCTCCCACTTTTAACCTTTACATGACAACCGTACTATGTACAGTACGCCTCAACTTAATTGACGTATCATTGCAGCTTACTTTTGTGACTTTGAATTTAACACGTTAAATTTGTAGAATCATCATTTTAAGAAGTGAACATGGTCGTAGTATGCATTTCGTTGCCTCTGCGTTTTGCTTTCTGTGAATATGTACAAATATACACTGTACATTCATACATAACATAATCATAAAACATAATCACAGCACAAAAATTGTATATATACAAATCCAAAATAACCCCTGATTTTCCGTATGCGCTTTTAGCCCAAAAAAACGCTGAATTTCTTCATTAAATAGGCAAGCTTATTTACTTCATTTTGTTTTTTGTTTCTTTAATTTAAGACCTCTTTTAACAATTTTACGAGTGTACATGCAAGTATCTGCACATGGAGGTCTCACATAGCCATTTAAATTCCGGCTGTGAGTGAGCGAGTGAGTTTTAAAAGTCCGTCTCGTAAAGGTTAAACAGTGTTTTTCGCAAGGCTGCGAGCATTACTGCTCAGTAATTTTCTATCAAGTTCGTTTGAAGCTTGACTAATATTTTCTTATGCAGGGAATCCGGATGCACAGGAAGTGCTGTATATGGTCACACAGTTCCTGCAGAACGAATCCAATGCTGGGAAACTGAATCCCGACTTCGAGAAGAAACTCATGGGTAAGTTGATTTGGGATGTGGAAAAGCCTACTCCGCAGGGACCAATGTTTTGAAGGGTCGTAGTTTTGATAAGATGACAAAAAATCGCATCAGTGGAATATTCACCGAATTAGACAACAGCAATTACCACTGTGTTCTGCAATAAATGAGAATGATACATGAATTCACCGAGTAGTTAGATCGTACTCGAACTTATCTTTCGATGTGACGAAGATCAGATAGAGAGCGTCGAGGTTCTTTTGCAGCTAGTCTATCGAAAGCAAAGTTATGAGCGTGACTAGGGATGGAAAACTTTTCGAGGCAAAGTTAGGAGAGGCAATTATTCGCTCTCGGTAGCTTTTCTTCCAGTTTCTGGAACATTTGCTCTTGTCCCGGAACCTGTTAACTTTCATATCTGAACTCACAACTCTGGCTCACGCTGATTGTTCTCTGAAGTACACGAGCACGATTTACTGTAATTGAAGTCTTCTATTTCTGCAATATATAAAAAGAAACGAAAATCCACCACTCTTAGAGGGTCACGGGTGATTTCGTTGACATTAAAGAAAGCATTTAATCCAATAATTTTCGCGGTCCTCTCCTTTTCCCAGATTTCAGAATTTAAAATATAAAGTAAGTTATATGTATGATGTGAATTCTCGGATATGGGACACCTAGTACATCTCGGAGGTTAGGGACAAGAGTATTGTTTCTGTGTGTGTGTGTGTTTAGGGAAGAAATAAGATTAATTGAATATTGTAACAGAGATCCTGATGACGGCCCTGTTCGACACCCTCCAAGAGAATCCCGGAGAAGGAAATCTGAACCAAGAGGTTCCTGAAGGAAGAACTCTTAACCCGAAGGAAGGAAAGCCAATTGCGGCTAAGGATCTTCCCTCACCCACCAATCACATCGCAAAGGGACGTAACGAGTGATCCCAATAGAACAACACGAATTCTTCTCTCACTCCCATCTTGAATGCTGCGTACCATTCACCTCAGCTACGAAAAGTAGCTAATTAAGTGAAGTTAGTTAAATTGGGCTCCCCCCCCCCCCCCCGGGAAACCAAAAATAGGACTTTCTCATGCACCTCAAGCCCCAACAGAAGCAGTTCTTGAAGGATGATAGTAGACGAGCCTCAACCATCAAAATGGGACAGAAATTCTGCGCACATTTGTTGTGAATCGTGCGGCAGCACATTTCCACAAATAGGAGGACTGAAAGAAATGCATTGTTTAGAAATGATTAAGAAGTTCGGAAGTTCAGACGTTTTGGAAACGTCATTCCAGTTACTAACGTTAACGTAGCTGAAATGGATGGTAGGCAGTGTCGATCTCCATTTCTCTCTTTGATATGAAACTTTTCCTCCACTTCTCCCAATTCTTCCCTGTCTCCCTCTCCACTTCTTCTCAGTCACGATTCGTGATATGTGAGAAACCTGCTACCTATGCCACTGTGTTCTCACTAACCGAATGAAAGGAAGGAGAGAAGTTTATGTTTACTGTTGAAGATGAGCGATGTAGCTATTTTCTTTGTCAATGGGATCATCCTATTTCGCGACAGAATTCTTAATTGTGTATACATGATGACGAGGATTCCAACCTTGAGAGAGGTGTGCTTCCTTTCCTTTCTTTCTTGCTTCATGCCCTTCATGCTCTTCGCGCTCTTGCTTTCCTTCAACATCTATTTTTTCGTTGCGAAGTGGCAGCTACTGTATTTCAAGCCTTCACTTTCACGTGGTGTCATCAGGATAAACAACGTGTATTTTAAAGATTGAAGAGTGCAACCACGAAACTTGCAGTGGAGTAAGTCAAAGCCAATTTTCTTCAGCGTGAATAGCAATGGTAAGTGAGTAAAGATTTCCATCAGAAAATGTTCGACATTTCAGATGCATACTTCAAAGGCATACCTCAGAGCTCTGAACGTCTCTTATCTCGAGGGATTCGGCTTTGAATGAGATGTATAACGAATGGATGTTTGTGAACTGGACCAGCCCATAGCACCATGCAGGGTAAAACATCTTACTGATTGCACTTGAAGTTTTACTGTGTCTGTAATGACCCTGGGTCTCCTAGTTTGGAATGCTACATTATTTTGGGAATAAAAGCCCAAAAAATGCAAAGTATGAAAATTGTCCCCTTGTGACTTCCTCGTGTGGCTCCAGGCAACATTTTCATGCAGAAAATCCAGGTTCAAGTCGACAACTGAACAGCTAAATTAGATCCATAAATCCATAAAATTAAATATAAATCCCTAAATAACGAACAAAGACACGATTGATTGTCCACTTGCATATCTCCGTTCCTGGCTGCCACGTCAGTAGAGAAAGGAAAGAAGAAAATGAGGATGAGGATCCTCATCAATAATGCAGTCTCAGTATGAGGACCCTTCCCTCAGGAGTTTCAGTGTATGTCCTGCAAGCACTGCCATGAGCCCAAGTCATTTGCCTGTCACTTTCTTTCCTTCGTGCAAGTCAATAAGGTGAGCTTCTTAGCTACACGATTCGGACGGCTGTCATGCAAATAGACAGACACCTCTCTTCGAAAAGGAGGGATATGATGCTTCGTATGCCATCCTCTGTCCAGTGTCTTTCTATCAGAATCGAGCTTTTGCCAACCTTGGTAGAAATACAGGGTGATTCAAAAGTCACTCCCTAATTTGTTTTATTAATACTTTCACAAGTTTAGAATATTTTAGGGTGAAATTACAGTGAAAACTCGTTAACTCGAACTTTTAGGGACCGGGCAAATCGTTTCGAGTTATCCGAAGTTCGAGTTATCAGGAATCGCCCCCCCCCCCCCCCC